GCTGGTCAGCTCCAGAGCTGGCAAAGGTAAAGACGTCGTCACCTCTTCTTGCCCAGCAGCAGCAGCAGCAGCTACTCGTGCGTGTCTCTGTGTGTATTTGTGTGTGTGTGTGTGTGTGTGTGATTGTGTGAGTTTCAGGTCGTCCATTTTGGTTGCTTTGGGTAGCTTTATGGGCCTCTGCTGCTGTGGCTGTGGCTTGAGACTGGTGCGAAGCAAATGCACCGCTAATATCTGGCCTGACCAGCAGGCGAAAGGGTAAAATAGTTGCCTTCAGTTGTTAGTTGCCGGCTCTGCTGTGTCTCGGTGTGTGTGTGTGTGTGTGTGTGCTTGGAATTTGTTGGCAGCTTGAAAATTAATGGAATTCATGGCTACAGCTTGGCCCCTGACCAGACCAAAACGTACGCAACTATGTGGGTCAGTGCGAAGCAACCAATGTGGTGCCATAACATTTTTTTCATTAGATTCAAGGTTGCCCAGTGGGCGTGAGTCCAGCTCTGCCCGTCCGTCCGTCCGTCCGTCCGTCCGTGTGTGTGTGCATGAAAATTAATAAAAAGGCAAAGACTAGCAGCATTGTACTTACTGCCTAGGCAGGAGCAACAGCAGCCACCTGGCTTAAAGCGCAAATTGCACTGTCATTTGGGGCGAGTTAACTAACTGAGGCAAGCAGCGGAATTTCATTAGCCCAGCCTTGCCACAAAATATGTGCTGCACGCCCTTTTGTTTGCCCACTTTGTTGCACTCAGTTTCGAGTCTTGTAATCAAACATTTCTGTTGCTTTTTGCCTTTTTTTTTGGCTAACGCTTTCACTACAAACAAGTAAAAGTGGTCAGTTCGGGAGTCGCCGACTAAGAGATACCCTAAAAGCACCACCAAGCAGATTTTATCATCCTAAAGACGTCCCTTAGTCTCGCCATATGCAAAATGTATTGTTAAATAACTTTGGTGTTTATTGTCCGATCTTTATGGAATGTCCAACGCATAAATATGTCATACGAATGTGTGTAAATACCAAAGTCCATGACTTTACCTGTATAAATGAGTTTTTGGAGAAGGAATCCAAATTCTGGATACAAGAAACTGATTTAAAACCAATTTCATCTACTTCATCGGGCACAAGAGGGAGCTAAGTTAAAGTATTCAAGTCTGGGTCTGTTATAGTCTCTGAGATCGACGCGTTAAAACAGATGATCGGATTTGAATAGACTTAATGGAGAAGCCATCAGAAGCCCACACGTAACATAATCCTGCACATAACAATGATACCCTCATATTAAGTGTATTAGCAAATTCCACTAAAGTATTTTTTGTTATACTTCTTTGTTCCGTTTCGTGTCTACGTGCTTTTTCAGGTGTTTCGCTCGGCTATCGACTCATCGTTCCTGCAAATGCTGCAGGACTGGCTGATCTGTACGCTGCCAACATTTTTGGACCAGCCGGAGCTGCAAGGTGTCTGGGGTCTGAGCGTCATCTTTTTATCCGCTTCCATAAATCTGCATTTGATTAAACTATTTCCGCTGGTGGTCGGCATTGGTGCCGCATCCGCCAGCGGCAACGTCTCGACTGCCGCCTGCGCGGCAATGGCACCACGGAAATTGGGTCAACACGAAATTGCATTGTTCGTGACAGCTGCACAAGATTTTCATGCGAAATTGAGTGCCGAGCAGAAGTTGCGCTTTCGCGAGGCCTTCAGGAACTACGAGCAGAGTCAGGTCTATGCGTCCATGTTGCAGCGCCTCTGATAGCGTTAAAATCTGAATAGAGCACCCAAGGATTTCGCAACGGTTTTGGCAAAAAAAAAAAACAAAATAATCGAAAAAAAAAACATCTTGCGCCCAGGACAAGCGCAAGCGTGAATAACTAATTGCTCTGCTCGGCTCGGCTCGACGCTGGCGCTTGCAAAGTTCAGACGGATGTCCTCCAACTCCTTGTCGTCCTACTCGAGCCAGGCGAAAGTTCTTTAATAGTTTGCGAATTCAAAATTAATTTATGGTTTACATTATGTGTAACTAATATTTAAATTATTGCCACCCCGCCCATTCCCCCCTCCCTTCACTCTCTATCTAACGCTCGCTCGAAACTTTAACGAGCCGCAATTAATTCCTGAGTCGCTACTCTCTGCCGCCATTTAGAAAATTGTGTTCTTGTCGGTTATTCGCGAAAGTTTTTTCATTTATGTATTGGCTTGTTCTGGCTGAGCGGGGAGCGCATGCAGTCGTTAGTATGCCGCTTAATCAATTGCTAGTTAATTAAATTACAAATTCCATAATTCCATAAGTCTTAATTGGCGTGCACCCCAAAAATTGTAACCAGCGATCAACTTATATTCCAATTGTAACTCAAATGTATTGTTCAAAGTCTTAAAAACACGTTTATATAATAAAATTCAAGCTTATTATGATGTTGTTATTTGGGATTATTCTGGATTCTTACCCATGCTTTATTCGGGTATATGCTGAGAGTTTGTTAAGGCTCCTCTCAGTAAGGACTTTTTAAGCAACATTTTTTGCAATTTAAACTGTGCTGCAAATATTTTTTGAACTTTTGCACTTTTACCTTTAGATGTTGCTACTGCTGCCTGTTCTTTTTCTTCTTATGGGGCATGTAACACAGTATTTTTGAGCTGCAGCTAAGCGCATTAAAATTGACAAAATGCCACTCAAAAAGTATCGTAAAACTTGTTGGCTGCAAAAAAAAAGAATGTTTTGCAAGGCAACGACTTACAGCTACACTGCCATATTGAGCATCTTGATTTTGTTTTAAAAAAAACAGCGTATACTGCGCCTTAAAATCAATCTGCAGCCCGTTTGGAATCTATGTTGGATGTCGCTAAATAAATGTTAGGCATGAGAAACAAATGCCTGAAGATGTGCCTAATCTGAGAGACAACTATTTTAATATAATTTTCATTTTTAAAGATACGAATCGTCAACGATTTTACAGTTTTTAACGACGCGGGCCAATATACATGTACCCTAGCTAATATGCCCCCATGACAGGTATTGTGAATTGTAGAGTACGAATAGAAAGATTTTCCGCCATTTTGTGACTTACAGAAGTTGCACAAACACTGCCAAGCCAACCCGTTGGCTGTATTTGAGAGCAAAAATTGACAGATCAACTTTTTTGCTGCATGCGTATATGTGTTGTGCGTGTGTGTGTTTGTGCGTTAGTATGTGTGCGTGTGCAAACCGGAAATTTGCCAGTTGAGCGCAAATCGAAAAAGCAACGCTTCAAAATTAAGTGTAAAGTTGTTGCACATCGTTCATTTTTTTTTTTGTGCGCCTTATGCAATCGAGCACAACATATTCAAGGTAGGCGGGTGTGGGTGTGTGTTAAGACAATGTCCTTTGCTGCGATTATGCGACACGCCAAAAGGCAATTTGGCTGTCGCTTTGGCCATAAACTGCAACATTTCGGCTATCAGCATTTGGTTACGGTTCATTTGGCCAAATAGCCATAACGGCGGGTACAGGCACAGATTGTCGCTGCCAGTTCGCCCGCTGCCCGTTGCCCATTGGCCGCTGCCAATTGATGTGGCACAGCGAGCAATGTGCCACAGCAACTGAATCAGGTGTGCGAGAGACGCCATGACCTGCGCCTTCGTGCAGCTGCCGTTCGTGTTTCAATGCCAGCGTTGCGCTCTCTTCGTCGCTGTTAACTGTAGCCATTGCGAAATTCACCACTTTTCGGAGTTGCGCTCTTTCTGAAAGGCCGCTCTTAAAGCTACGAACGCTCTTCCAAACGCTCTCTCTCACTCTCGCGCTCTCTGCTGCTCTTGCTGTTATGACTAGGTCAGTAGTGCGACTGTTTCATGCCGTTTCGTTTCAGCTGCTTTGTATGCAGGCCAGCACAAAGATATGCTACAATTTCTGAATGTTCATCACACGCACACACACACACACGTGCACAGGAACGACACTGTTACACTTACAGTTATGATTATGATTATTGTTATGATGATAACATTGTTGCCATTGTTGTTGCTGGTGCTATTGTCGTAGTAGTTGTTGTTGTTGTTAGCGGTATTCTCAACACCGTTATTGTTTAGCTATTTGCTTGGGCGCTACAATGACTTAAGACCACAGCCAGTGTGTCCACTGTAGCGTGCGCTGTAATGGCGCCAATAGTTGTGGCTCATTGAACAGACATACACTCAGACACACTCACACACACACAGACTGTCACTTTACGCACAGTCATAATATTATCTATTGAACAACACCTGCTTTTCGCTTACCTGCAACAGCTTTGAGCAACTAATTTGAAATTTTAATTACATTGGCAGCGGCGATGAAGTGTCGCTTGTCAGCGACTGATACGCCTTAATTACGCCACCTTGGCGAGACAACAGCTCAACCTTAGCGACACCCCCGTCCACGCCCACATCACGTGTAAAGTCAACGCCCCAAATTGTGGCCTTACACTGGACGCGCGCACGCTTATTAAAACTGAATTAATTATGCAAAACTGCGAACAGCTCGATTTCCCTTTTCCCAAAAAACCGGAGCCAATACACGAAACACAAGACGAACGCTGCATAATTAATTCAGCTCCTTGTCCGGCGGCCCGCAAATGCAATCAAAACGCCTGCACAACTTGCCAAAATGCGGACCAAGTCGAATCCAAAACTTAAAGCTGGCCAGAAATGCGATCTTACGCTTAGGCTGTGCCTCTACGAGTGTTGCCGGAGAGTTTCAGCTGCAGCGTTGCCAGCCGCATCAATGCCTATCAATAAGTGCATGAATGACTGAATAAACGAATGGACACGCATAAGCTTGCCAGATTGCTGCGATTTCAAATTCAAATATGCGACAACTGCTGTGTGCGCTCTCTTCGTGCGGGTGGGAACGCCTTGTCCCCCGACAAGTATTTCAATTTCGCGTTTTCCACATCACTTCATAGACAATTAGGCGCCAGCAGCGCGCATTTTCAGAACACTTTGCAATAGTTTTGAGTTACTTTGAGTTATTGGAAATGCTGCATCTTACAAAGAAATAAAATAATATTGGATTTCTTGTTTATTTCATTTATTGTTTACATTGAATTAGCAAAAAGCTGCGCAATTAACAGTTTTGTTTACATTTGGCAACGCCCCACTGCACACGACTGCGCGTGGCCCATAACAAGCGTTAACTCGTAGGGAGTTCGATTTGCCTATATATAGTACATCTATACCTAAGTCTAAATACATATACAACTGGATGATTCAAATAGCTATCGCGATTTGAAATGCGCGCTTTATTTTGATCAGAGTTTTACTTTGTTGCTGTGCTGGAAACTTCGGTCCTTTCATTTTGGGCATCGGACGTTAATTAACGGCACATGCTCAGCCCCATAATCGGCCGCATTTAGCCGGTTGGCCGCGTTCCAGCGTCCGCGAGGCAATCAATCTGCCACCTTCTCCCACTCCCCCTGCTGTTGCCAGTCGGTCAATCACAATTCGATACATACTACATATTATTGGGGCTGTCGCCGATTTTTGGTTGTCGTCGCATTGGCGCTTACATGCCCGTCGTGGAGGTCCTGCCGCAGGACGTCTTGCGCGGCGGCGGCAAATCAGATGTGTAATTGTGGTAGCGATTCGAGCAGTTAATGGCCTACGGAGAAATGAAAGATGAAATGCGAGAAATGTGTCGGGCATAAGTTAATGCTAAAAATACATAAAATAACGACGAGTAAATTGTGCCAGGTCCGGGGGCCCCAAAATGTTTGATTAATGATACGTCCTGGATGCACGCTGCCTTGGCAATTCCCCTATCAAACCTGCTGCCCCACACAATGGACTGTGGCTTTGCATTTGAATGATTAGATTTGATTCAATATTCAATTATTTAACTGGTTTGAGGTGTTGAAATGCGCACAGTTTATCTGTGGGTCCATACCCGCCCCTATCGGCACAGTCCCTTCTATTCCGTTGGGCGTTTGCATATAAATGATTTATGAATTTGCGCTCTGATTGAACCGTCCGAAATTGTTGATTAGTGCGCCGTCATAGAACAACAACAACAATAGCAAAAAGCAACAATGAGAACAACAACAACAACAACAACAATCGCACAGACTCTGGAATTTCAATGCAGTCGCTCAAGGGAAATAAGTTACGGTTTTTGGGCCCCATCAATCGATGGAACCATACACAAATACATGTGTGTGTCTGAGTGTGCATCTACCTGTATTTGCATTTTGATTATGGCGCATACTAAGTAACGGAATGCATGCACAGCATTTACTGCAAAATTATCGAATAATTGCGCTGCCAAATGCTTTATCCCATATCTCTTTGCATTAATATTAATTATACAACTGTTTTAAAAAAATACATTGGTCTGATGTAGCCTAAGCATAATGCACAGATCACACACACAGGCACAACACAGAGCGCAGTGGCTGTTGGGCACGACGTAGGAGTCGTTTAGGAACCATCGATTATTTTGGTCGGAGACGTCGCGGATGTGGCTGGAAAACCTGCTTTAGCTCGGCCGAATTAAAAGTTCTTGGAAAATAAACAATTTTTTTAGTTTCATCTGGTAAGGCTTACAATAAAACAAAACATTAAAATTCGAAACTTCTTTTTAAACTATTACTCGAATAAATTAAATTCGATTTTCTATTTAAATGCTTTTTTGGACTCTTACGAATCATAACTATTGATTGGCTTTAAAAATAATAATGTACTAAAGTTTGACCAAACTTGGCAAATATTTTGAAAAATAGACTTTATGCTGAAGGCAGCAATATTTGAGTAATATATCTTTTGGAACTTGCCCGGATCAGCGTCTCAGAAAGAGGAGTTTTGGCCATGCGTGAATCGGCAATCAGTTGGCCAATTATTTACTCGGTGCAAACAGTTCGCATATATAGATTAAATCAGAATTCATTCTATTATGGTAATAAGAGGAAAATGTAAATACATTTCTGACTAAAAACATTTAAAATAAATTGTAAATAGTTCATGCCTATTTTTCATTACATTATTTTATATTAATATGTGATTATCAGCACAGGTAAATATCAATAAAGTAAACGTTAATTAAAAGAATAAAGTAAATACAGCATGACGGTGAATGTGTACAAATAAATTTGAGTTCATATTTAATCTGGGACAATTGAATTAAATCGGTTTTTGGCCAAAATCGATGGGAGACTCCACACTCCACATCCTAAAACAAAAAAACATTGACACACTTTTGACTAATTGCATAATGGACGAGCTGTCAGCCGAGCAATTAGCCAATTTGATAGGCTAATAGGTGCGTTCAATACCTGTCTGGACAAGGATTTAAAGCTACAAAAAGTGATAACAAAAAATGGAAAACAAAAATAAAACCACATGCGCCTCGCACAATAAACCAACACAATAGCCGGCGCCAACGCAGCAATTTAATTAATGTAATTAATCTAATTTAATGACTTGACAAACACATCAATTAGCGCCGCGCGAGGGACGCAGGTCGCATGGAGAACGGCCAGGCTCAATTTATATGCAAAGTGCCGAAGCAGGACTTTGCGCAAAGTGGAAAAAAACTGCGCCAACAGCAGCAACAGCAACAGCAACAACAACAGCAAAAACATTCAAAACAAAACAAATTAAAATATTAAAATTAGGCCACAAAATGATTGAAAGGAAATGCTACAGACGGCTTTGGCATCGATGGCAGCAACTCGACTCCAGACACCCACTCTATAGTCAATGGGTCTGCCGCACCGACTGTCTGTCCCTAAAGTAATTAAAAGTAAGTAAAGCATAGTGTACCCCACCTCCGCCCACCTCCGAGTGCCCACGGAATGCCACGAATTCGGTTTTATTTTGATTTTTTCCCTACGTTTTGTACTTATGTAAATGGCCACCGAGCAAAGGAATTAATGTGCGCAGCAAGTGAGTTGAATTGGAATGAGCCGAGGTGGCCGGCACATAAAGTGTATTCCCGGGTCCGGCAGAGTCCTGCGGGGCGTGGACACGTGGGCTTGTTGTTGGTGTCAACGAACCTATTGCGATTTGCATAAAATGCTATAATAACTAAATGCTACAGCTTGTGCTGCTCCCAAGCCAGCGCCAATTTGATGCAATGTGCGTACTATTTAAAATTCCATATTTCAACATTTTCGCTGTGTAAGATAATGCCAAACATTCATCTCGCACAATTGCCAAAAATAGAAATTCTTTCCAATGCGAACCGATTTGATTGAATTTGATTGCCTGGGCTGTTTGGCTCGTTTCATAATTTTGCTGTAAAATTTTGGTATTTATAACGCAATTGTTGGGCGCGTCCACGTCCCACGCGGCGTATGCTCGTTTTTCGCACTTAACTCATTAAGGCAGCCGCCTACCGCTGGCAAATGTTTGGGCATTGCGCGCGTTTTTCTAATATTATTTTATGTGATTTTTTTTCCCCTGTCTGACTGTTGGCAGCGTAAATAATTTAATTGAATTATCGATGGAAACATTTGAAAGAACTAAAAGCACATTTGAGATCAAATCAAATACCTGACGTTTTTACAGCTGCATGGAAAATAACGCCAAGAAAATACTTTTAAAATCTGTATAAATCCACAAATTGGGTCGAGGGCAGCCACTTAAAAAAGCCATATGAAAAATGCATGGCAAAGAGAACGAAAAAAAAAAGAGAAGAGCCAAACAATTCAATTGGCAACAAGCAAAGCATTGACCCAGCACTCACGGCACAACACGACGGGAAGAGCTTAACAATAGCTTGGCTGGTTTGGCAATCCAGGTCTGTGCACTCACCTTGTAGAAGGCCTTGCGAAAATTGTCTGAGAGAAAGGCGTAGAGCAGCGGATTGATGCAGGAGCTGGTGTACGCCATGGTATGGGCCACTATCTGCAGTATGACATTAAACATGCTGTTTATTTCATACATGTCCAGCGCCTTCAGCAGTAGTATTAGCTGCGAACACAAAGGGAATGAACGATTGGAAAATCTTAATTAAGCTAAAGTGTAAAAACTCACCTGCACGGGCAGCCAGAGCGAGGCGAAGGCAATGACCACAACAACCACCAGACGGGTGACCCGTTTGCGACCACGCTGCGACTCCTTGGACATGCGCACGCCTGTGCCCTGATGCCAGAGGCGCATTATCATGCGCACATACAATCCACTGATGACCATCAGGGGCAGCAGATACGAGCTTATGAAGAAGCTCACCTGAAAGGTGCTCAGATCAAGGACATCGTTGTCTATGAAGCGGCACATGGCGTAGGTGACGTTCGTCTGGTTATCATAGTCGACCTGTCCAAAACAAACGTACATTTGTATATGCAAATATATATAACTACAGTATTACGCATACGTCATGTGGGCTGACATTTTCATGGCTTTGACGTTCATAAATAAGCCAAATAACAGGAGGAGAGAGTGTATGAAAAGCAAAACACGTGCAAATAGCTGGCATAACTAAAACGCACTATCTGCGAGCCCTGGACACTGTCTGTGACAGGCGAATAACATATTTGCCTCTTCACATGACGCACTCACTATTTGGGCACCCGCCGCCATTCACCGCACCTGACTCAGGTCTGCTCAGCTGGGTCATAAACTACTGTCGTAAAAAAAATATTCACCAGGCCAGCTTTTTGTTTACAATTTTGTTTACAGCACAGTCGCAGCGCATTGATAATATAAAATACTATTAAAAACTCTACAGAAATGCATACCAAGAACGATTATTTATGGCCCCTCTTGTTGTTGTTGTTGTTGTTGTTACAAGCAGCTAAACAATGCCCCAAAATGTTGGCCAAGGAGATTTGTGCCAATTGATTTGCCCTCAGGCTAAAGCAGCGCAGTAGAAAGTTACATATGTGTTTAATTAGTTGTATTTAAATGGTATTTTCATGTTCTTAACTCAACAACAACAAGAGCAACGGCAACAAGTTGGCTCTGTTGTGATTTTTAATGCGATTTTGTTGTTAAGTGTGTCAAAAATCTCTTTATCCATAAACAAAAAAGCAGACAAAGAACTGACCCAACTCAAGTGGCTCTGCGATAAGGCATAAACAGCTGTCAATCAATGCCGTAATAGATCATCTATATTTAATGTTCATATTACGACGGGCATATGCGCCGCAATTCGCGGCCCCTATTCTTTATAGGGTATAGGCGGCAAATAGATATTGATGCACAGCGGCTGGTATGCTGCTCGCATCTGTTATTGTTATTGTTATTATTTTCCTTTTCTTTTTTTTTTGGTTTTTTGTTGTAGACAATAGATAACAGTATGTAATATGAATATAATTAATAGCTAACTGTTAATTAACATGTTGATCAAACATGAGTTAATTATGCCATTTTATCGCACGTTTTGCTTTTGTTTGCATGCACATGTGAGAGTGTGGTGAGTGTGTGTGTGTGTTTGTTATCGACACACACTCACACACACACATAAATATTCAATTTGGGCTGCTATTTGGCCAGCTTAATCCTCGGGCCAAGCAAAACAAACAAACAACAAAAGCGACGCAGCCAAAAGTCCGGGCGTGAAAAAAGGAGCGTGAAATACCATTTAATAAAATATCAAGTTACAATAACAACACAACAACAAAAACAAATACAACGAATGCACAGCAAATGGTCCATTTCATTGATAAAGACGCCAACGGCGATAAGATACGTTTAATTACGGGCGACTATTTGATTATGAATAGGCCTCAACCACACTCATGGGTGCGAAAAACAAAATGAACCCAACCTCACACACACTCCCGTATACACACACTCTCTCTCTCCCTGGAAAATGTATCTGTAAGTAGAAATGTAGCCAACAGTATGGGAATTGCGTTGTATTTTTGCTAATGCACTTCGTTGAAGTATTAAAGGAAAGCCATTAAGAGGTCGCAGTTGACCCAGACATTTCCAGCTAATAAGCTGATTAGGATTTTCCGAACATTATTCAAATTAACGCTTGCTAAATGTACACAAATGGCTCTGGTCTGAAGTACTTAAATAACCTAAGCATATAACTACGCGATGAAAGAGCAGCTTTTGATTCTGCTTGCAATGTTGCCCCATTCGAATTTTATAAACATTTAACTTTCTTTCTGATTATTTTACATTTATGCTGAAATTATAGCTGCAAACAGTGCCAAATAGAATGCTGAAATTGTGTGTAGTCCATTAAATACTAATGTGGCTTAAACAGCTGAGTTGAGTCACGGGATTATAATTGATCCAGATAGAACTGGCTTGTATTGGTGATAAACATATAAACGTATAGGTAAATAAATAGAAAATATTTATATATTTACACAAAGTTGGTCAATACGATCTCGAAACTTAAACTTTTCTAATTTAAATAATAATATTTATGTTTGTACCTAATACCGCATCTGCTTTAAATAATCATCAGCATTTTCTTTAAACTTGTTTCGCTTAATTTTTTCCAAAATAATTATTATATTTAAGTGCCATTGGCAGGAAATTGCGAATTAATTAAAAAGAAATAATTGAAGACATTTAAAATAAATATAAATTCGATTCATTTGATTGCTAGCCCACAAAAGTTTTACTCCATCCATTGGCTAAACAAAGAAATTTCCACGTCTAGATGTGTCTATTGTTGTTTGTTTGGCGGCGCTTATTAAACAATTAACTTGTTGTTCGCACTCAGGGCATTGATCATAAAAACATTATCGCCTTTATGGCAAATGGATAAATGATGGCAAGGCGAGCATTAAATGCGCACTCTACCCAGAAACCAGAACTCAGCATCAAGGTCATATCGCCAGAGACTTATCATACGCAGCGTATGCCCAGCCTGTAGCCTGTTGCCTGTCTGTCTGTTTGTGTGTCTGTGATCAATGATCCATTAGATTTTGGGGCAACTGAATAAGCAGAATAAGAAATCAAACTGCAAATTGTAAATAGATGTAGCGCATATGAATTGGAGATGGTATTGGCCATATGACCGGCAACTGTTTCGCTCGTGTGTGTTCTGTATCAGGTCTATAATTAAAATTTATGCATTTCAAATAGCAAATTAGTAACAAAAACAGAACAGGCGCCCGCATCTAGAGAATTCTGAATATAAACACGTAAATGTGAAAAGAAAGAATAAACTTAAATAAAAACAAAAAACAATAACAAAATAAAAACGTGGGCAGGCAGGTAAAGGCCAAAGCCAGATCCACAACAAAAGTGTTTTTGCCCACTGACGTGGAGCAGCAGCTCGAGACATCTAACGAGGTGCCGATGATGCGAAGCAATAAATTTTAGCTGGCCTCCGTTATTCGCAGCACATTCGGGCACAGCAGGCAACAGCCCTGAGGCTGGACGGAACACACACACACTTACCACCACATCATGCGCAAAGGTGACCGGCATGGAGACAGTCAGCACCACCGTCCAGAGCGTAAATATGGCTATCTTTGTGATATGCTCGGTGCGCAGCATGCGAGAGCGTATGGGATGAACGACGGCCAAGAAGCGATCGATGGACATCAGGACGAGCGTATAGATGGAAGCATAAGCGGTAACCACTATCAAATACTGGACACTGCGGCACCACATCTTGCCAAAGGGCCAATGCTGGGTCACATAGTCGATTGCCGTGAACGGTACGCAGAAGATGACGAACAGCAGATCGGCTGCGGCTAGGTTGACAATCAGCAGATTTGTTGTGGAGTGCATGTTCTTGTTCAGCAGCACCACCAGTATGACCAACAGGTTGCCAAAGAAACCCGAGATGGCAATGATGCCAAAAAAGATTGGCACCAGCCAGCGCACAGTGGCCCGTATGGCCTCCGCCTCGGCGTAGAATGAGGATAGAGTTGAATTGTCTAAGTTGCTGCTCGCTGTGGTCAGCTCCAGCTGCGACTCCAGCCAGCTGCTGTTGCTGGGCATGGCCACGGTTATGTTGCTTAGGTTCATGCTGTGGCGCTTTCTGTCTACAGTTTTCTATTGATTTTTAATTGCCCCAACGCTCATTACATTTCCTTTTTTGGTTGCCGCACACAATACGCGGGTGAAACATTTTCCTTTCTTATAATTTTATTTAATTTTGCTTTTTGCTTTTTCAATTTGGCAGTCGCCTTTGTCGCGACAGTTTTTCCGTTGTATTTTCACGGTTCGTCGGGTTCAAATAACAAATTTCCAATTAAACGATTTTGGCCAAGCAGCAGTTGACAATGACCAGCACGATAGAATCGAAGAATGTTTATATATATTTTTCTTTTATTTTTTCTTCTTTTTTTTTATTTCAATTATCATGCACAATAATCCGCAGGGAACAACAGCGGCGACATTGTCCGAGCGAAGCAAACAGCACCAGCTTAATTCGCGGACTACCACACGTAGCTGTCCCCAAAGACAATTTGGAGCCACACCAATGCACACACACCAGCACACACACACGCAGCAGCAGCAGCAGCACAATAATGGCTAACGGTAATTGTAAGAAGGTAAGACAACAAGAAAACGTCAGCAAGTGCCCACGGTACGTTTTGGCCCCCCCTTTAAGGACGCCAGCGGCGACGCAGCTTAACCGTGTCACGCCCTAGCTAAACGCTATGCCTTTGTGGCAGCTGCACCCACACACTATAAATTGCTTATGATGTCTTCGGAAATTTGTTATTGACAAATCGACAGCGTCAATTTTGGTGGCGCAACTCGCGCAGCTGCCACACCAAATTGTGCTTCACAGCACGACAAAAAATATGATTAGAATGTTGTTGATGTTCGCGAAATTATATTCATTTTTTGTATTTTTATTTTTATATTTTGGATAAATCCCAAAATTCAAACTGCACGCGTTCGTTACCAGCGCACAACTGATGCCAGTGCCGCAAAAGATTCGCAGTCGACAACGGCGGCGGCAGCAGTAATAACAACAGCTGTATCTGTGTGTTTGTGTGTGTGCGTGTGTGGCTGTGTAGTATATGGCTGCCAGCGCCCTGGCCGCCGCTTGCTCCGCCCAACAGCCAATTCCTGGCCAGCGTTAACTGTTTATTTAGCTAGCTGGGCGGCCGCGCAAACAGCTGGCAACAATAGCCGGCCACAGCCAAACGCTCGGCAACATATTGTTTTTCGTGTATGGTCACCACGGTGACAGCTTCAGCTACTGCTGCCACAGCCGCTGCCGCTGCCGCTGTCGCTGCCTGTGTTGCGCAGCTGGATATCGACGCTGCCAACTGCGCTCCATGGTGCTTAACTTCACTGATTAACTGAAGCGTCCGAAGGCAGAAAAAAAAGAGGAAAAATGAAAATAAAATAAACACAAATTCCGTCAGACAATGGCACGCGCTACGTTTTCCACTCGGCCGCCTGCCTCCGCCCACTTTTGTTGTCCGGGGTCGCTTATCTCAACGATTTTATCGCGCACCTTTGGAGCGCTGCGGCGCACCGCAGAATGTAGCCAAGCTGGAGCCGAACAGCTGCTGCTGTCGCTGACTGGGTTAAGCCAAGCACCGACAGCCCATTTACATGCCTATCATGGCCAGAGACGGGCGACTGGGCCATTCACCTGTCATTGCCAGCTTGACGAGTTGGCGTCAGCGGCGACGCCGAAGCTGGCGCTGACAATGACGCAGACGCAGCATCGCAGCTGCGGCTTAATTGTCGCACAGCATTTGCGTTGACGGCAGCGGCCACGCCTCAATGGGCCGCCCGTGGGAGTGGGCAACAACAATTTGGCCAGATTAAACACGAATTAAGCATCGCCTGAAAAAGCAGAACATCAGCAAAATAAAATAAAAAAAAAACGCACAAGAAAATAAACAAAATGAACAGGATTCTAAAAGAGCAAAAGTTATAACCATGTATATTTAATGCGCAGCACAGAGCATTTAATGAAGTCTTTAATCTTTAATGCCTGCCAAAAAATAAAAACGAAATACCAAATGTACTTTCTCACAACTTAGCTGACTAAACATCACATACAAAGTCGGAATTCAATAGAGAAGGCCGTCAAATAAAATTTGCGCCAAAACTAGGAAAGGTTCATAGCCGTCGATTAAATTAAATATACATTTATTTTACAAAAAATGCTGCATATCTTAAGGCGCGGCAAATTCATTTAAATGTTAGCGAAACGAATTTTATTTTTGCATAAATTTCACAGACATTTTTTATTTTTTTGCAGCACTCCAAGCTCTAAGCTCTATGTACAAGGATTTTATAATCTTACCAATTTGATAACTGAAAACTTAACAAATTCAATTATTTCATGGTCCAAATCAACTTTAAGATTTGATCGATTTCATCAGCGTTCAGAATTCAGAATTAACAGCAACTCAAATACCATATATTTTCGTCGTTCTGATATTATGTTTGTTATGCTAAAATGAAAAGCGTGCTTTTCTAAATAAATTAGCATCTGAATAAATGACAACCAAACAACACACACGCAACACACACATACACCCACTCAACGCACACACAGGGTACAGATTTTTGAAACGCATAACATTTACTGCCAGGCCCACGTTTGGCCCATTTCTAGCCGTTATTAAAAGTTAAGCAAACAGTTTGGCTGTGCCAAAACTTTCGATGTGATTGAAATGTTTGTAAACTAGGTACAACAAGAGAACACACGCACATATATATTAAATACACACACACACACACATACGTACGCTCGCACGCACACACAAATATTAAAAATGCGTTGCAATGTTGTCGGGTCGGGTTATTTCATTTTTTAGCATAATCATGTGCGAGGCCTGAGATATATGGCCTGAAATGGTAGTCTAGCGTTAATAACAAAGCAACAATGGGCACAGCACTGAAATTACTTATCGAAAATGTGTCAGAATCAAAATAAAAATTTGGGATCAAAATAATATTCGAGAATATGTATATTCACAAAGAAATCTACAAGATAAAGTTTTATAAAGTGTACTATTTAAAATGAGTCTCAAGTTATATTTATGTAAATAAATTACCATGCCGCCCACGGTTAACTGTCTGGCTGGTTAGTTCTATTATCATTCCACAGACACTTGATGCCCGAAATGATGGATTATCGCCTTTCCCGTGCTATCGTAATATTTTCATATTATATTATTTTTAGTCTACATCCATTATGTGTGCCGTTGTGAGACGGTAAACGGGTTTGGCAAACTTTTTGTGGACCAACAGAATTAATAAATGTAAATCGGCAGGAAACTGTCCAGAAAGCGGGCAAATCCTTAAACCGTACTAACAGCCGCATTAATCGGCATTTCTCGGAAAAAGGGTTCACAGTTGTGCACAGCTTTTGCTATTTAATCATTCAAATTGACTTTCTTGCCTGATGGCCGTTAATTTTGAAATCCCTTTTAAAATACGCTACTCTGCTTATCCGGTTTTCCTTTCATGCCTGGCCTGTAACTTTGTTTTCCGCTTGCGGCTTATAAGTTTATAGCCTCTGCTCGGTCCAGTTTCCTCCTCCCCCCTCCCTCTCATTTTTCACGAATTCTTCTTTTGTTTTTCGCGCTGGCTCACTTAGAACGCGCTGAGTTTGCATTTGGCTTTCCTTTTAGCATTCTCCACCTACTTTTTTTTAAGTTTTTAATCAAGATGTTTTAAATGCGGTTCGCCGCTGAATGATGGATTTTTTCTCGCTCGTTCTCTCTTATTTTTATTTTTCATATTATTAGTTTTTTTTTTACTTCTGGCTTTGCTCTGCGCTAAGTAAACAGAAAGTTAGCGGTGTGTTTGGCAACGAATTATGCAGATAATAAAATGAGTCTTCAAATGTATAATCAAGTTGTGAACGGCCAACCCTTTGCTGTTGTCCAGTGGCCAGCACAAATTATCCCCGTGCTTGCTGGCCATAATTAAGGTCCGTCCTTGGCTGGAGTCCGTTCAATGGAAGCGCAACTTTTTTATAAGCAATATAAGCCCGGGGTAAAAACATGTCAAGGACTGCGGCCATTGAGTCGTCATTTAAGCGAATGCTTAGAAAAGATTGCCATAAAATCGTTTCAACAATTAGCTGGCCATCATTTCTAGTGCTTCAAAATGTTGCTATTTTCGTTTTTATTTTTATTGCTGCCACAGCAACAGCAAGTGCCACAAATGCCATTTACCGACCACAGGTGCGCCGTGCGGCACACAATGAAATGCCTCAAACAATGGTCCATCATAGCTATAACCGGAGAGAAACTAAAAATAAACTAAAATAAACCAAACTTAACTAAACTAAATGCTGCTTCCGCACGGACAAACAGCTGCAACTTGTTAGACTTCTCCGCTAGTTTTATTTGTTTGCCCTATACATTTGTTTAGTTGGGTATAATATACTGGCGAGTCTCGCGAAAAGCAACCGGAAACTGAAATTTCATAAATCAAAGAAAACTTCGAATGTACTTAATAAAGGTTTTTGGGGGTTGTAAATTTGATTATTTTTATTTTAAGCAGTTGAAAGATTGCTAAGATTGTTAAAACAACTTTATAAGGGAGTTTCGGGGATTTTAAATTTAATTATTTTAATTTTGATTCAAAGCTATCAGTTAACAATACCATCTAATTATTAATTTATTTTTACTACATGTCCTTTGATATTTATCAAATAATTATAAATTTAGAAAAGTGAAAAATGTGCTTTTCCCCGCTTTGCGTAATAACAAATTGAATATTGCCTAAGCTACATCTATTGTCATTCCATTGGTGTGACTTTTTTGAAATCAGTTGAGATTTAAAAAAGCAATAAGAAAAATATCACACTAACACCAAAAATAATATAAGAAAAAGACAATTTAAGGATTTTAAAAAGCTCTTAAGAAACCTTGCCTAAGAAAATTTAAAAAAAAAATTTCATTTCAATTCTAGGGGACCCAAATCTATCATAAAATATCAAACTCGGTTGAAAATAATTGAATTATTTTTTAAATCTATCAAAATATATTGGATTCATCAAATGTGTTTGCCAATAATTGAATTCTATTGCCTAGTCAAATTTTTTGCATTTGTATCTTTATATTATAAATCGTTTTTAAATATTATATATATTATATATTATATTAAATCGTTTGCTAATTTATTTCTTTTCTTTAATCGCTTGTTATACAAACAATAACAACTTAGATCTAAATAACAATTTAGGAACTATATAACAGTTACGTAGTACATAAAATATAGTAAATAAATAATAAAAAATCTAATTTACATATTATGACATACAACTTCCAGGGCATATCAAAGCCTGGCAATGAAGAAATTGTTGTTTTTATAAAATGCCATGAAAAATATGATTTTACGCGCTGCTTGGCAGTTGTCGCCGCCAACGCCAACGCTGGCAGCGCCTGTTGCCGTGATACCATAAAATAAATGTTGCTGCCCCGCTGCAATTGCTGGCGGCGCAAAGTTGCCGTCATATTGTCAACTTCAACCGTTGCGTTCTGTTCTGTTCTGTTGTGTTGAGTTGTGTTGTGTTGCTACCGAGCAACAAAATTAACTTTTACGCTTTATTACCGCAAAGATGGCCAAAGAAAACAATGCTCGTACCGCAAATTGTCCGGCTATTCGGCTGTCTGCAAATCTCACTGCATTTTGCATTCTTTGGATTGTATTGTGCTGGTGCCGCCGCTTTTTAGTCGTACGCATCCGGAGGCCATCAAAGTTGCCGGAAGCTCGTCGGCCAGTCATCAACTCAATTACATTTGCGACCCGCGCGGCGACTTTGATGTTGCCAAGCGCCCCTCTGCCCGGCGACAACAACAATTGCAGACGCGACGCATTGTTGACTGATGGCATAGACATCTAAACAAGAAGCACAATAAGCGCGCCGTTGTTGTCTTTTATCCGTCTGCAGCTCCAGCCACAGCTCCTGTTCCTGTTTCAGCTTCTGCTCCTTCCCCACCTTCATTGTGTGCTGTCGCGTGTGACGGATGCGACAGGAAGCGCACAATGTCTTGATAGCAAAGCGTAGACTCCACAAAAACGCAATCCGCAGCATTCACTACACCTCAGTCTCTCTCTCCCTCTCTCTCTCTTTCTTTTTCTGAGTGTGTGTGTGTGTGCTTCCATTATTTAGTGCTTCCTCTGGCGATAATCTATGGCGACTGCAGCAACGGAAATATTTCACAGAGATTAGCACAGCAAGCCAACATTTTGATTAGTTGCCAGCGAGCGACCAACTACTCAATCTGTAGGTCATTAGCAGGCTTACGCTTGTATCTGCGTTTCCAATGCAAATTGAAATGATTGGGAAACTGCATGGGGACGGCAAGCGCTCAGCACCAGCTGATCCTCAAGCGGATTATCCAGGCAGAGATGCGTCTGAGCATGCTGTAGCTGTGTGCCAGTCCGCAACCAATGCTGTCCCGCCTGGCCATTGCGACAGGTTTCCAACCTCAACTGCGGCTGCTCCACTGTGAATTCAACTCCTAAACATAGCTGCTGTTCGGTACTCAGTTGTCCAGTGTCGTGATGCAAATGCCACTGCGTGACTCCCAGGTGATGGCAACTGGTGAACTGCAGCTGCAGCCTGGCCTTAGTTTCTGCCACATGCAGACAGCGACCCGCATTACGTAAGGTGCCCAATGCGCTGAGGCTCGCGTGCTGCAACCTGTCACAAAATAGCCGACAGACAGCAACAGGTGAGAATTGATTTGACATAGCTACCGATATCAAATGGTCTCAATACTCGAATATAATCGAATTGTTTATAACACAAATGACGCTTAGTCAATGAAATGGAATTCAGAAGTCTGCTTCAATGGGGAAGACTCACCTAAGTTCTGGACTCACATGCCGCATATACCAATCAAATGTATGGCACTGCCGTTCAGCCTTTATCAGTGCCGGATCGTAGGGTTGGACTGGGTGGAGATTCAATGGAATTTGCTTGGCCGCCGGTTTGAGAGCGTAGAACAAATATTTGTACTCGTCCAGCCAGGACTCGGCTATGATTTTTGAGTTGCTGCGGGATAGAGAAGTTGGAGGAGGCGCGGCCAGTATGTAAGCATTCGCATTGCGTGCTGGGAATGTTTATATTAAAAGGTACCACGGCACGCAAGCGTCTGGCTGAAATAAATTGAAAAATACCAAAGGCGAGCTTTTCACACCTAAACCGGTCACCCAAACAGCAGCCCGAAACAAAACAACAACAAAAAAGCCAGTCTGATGTGCTCGACTACAAGATACCCTGAAGCAAGCGCCGAACTACTTCAATCAACAATCTAGCTGATTTCTATACACAAAAACAAACGGCGCTTGCTGCGCATCTTACGCTGTGGCTGTGCGACACTCTGGGAAATGTATTCTTGACTCGGTGTTCAGAGATCTTTGTGAAATTTTCAAGGCATAAATATGGCATTTAAATGTGTGCTTTTAATATACGTGGCCTATTAAGTTTGGGGAGAATGTGATATGTTCTTAATCTGTCTTTTATATTCAAGAGCTGTTTTTGAGCTCGATAAAATTACAAAATTATAATATTTGTAATATTCTTATGAGATCGGAAATGCTTCCTTCTGTCTGTTACATACATTTGCACAAAAAACCTGATGCCCCTTTTATTCATTTACAATGGACTCAGGGTATAAAAAGAGCAAACCTTCCCCTGGTCACTTCAACTTACCGCAAATATGTCGCCTGGGTGCTGTCCAGCTGGTCCTCGTCGAACTGAGGCGGAAACTCAAAGGCATGGCGCATTCGAAAAATATGTCCGATTCGACTGCAGGGCACGATCTCAATTTGTCCGCCGCAAAGCCACAATTTAATGGCAAGCTCAATGGACTCGCCGCCCCAAATCTACAGACAAGGGAAAACCCCAAATGGGAATGCGATTTTTCTCTGTAATTTCTCGTTTTCTCTCTCTCTCTCTGTGTCTCTACTTTGCCTTTTCGCTGTGCGACACAAAGTTGTGTGTCATTGCTTGACATAAGCAATTAGCACACTTGCCACAAGCACTAGTTAATTAGGCGCGCTTACCTCCAGGTGTGGATTGAAGCCGTGCAGCTGGTGGAACCATTCGCGTGAGATCATCAGTGTGCCACCCGCAAAGGTGGGACTGCTATATGGGCGCTCCGGCAGCTCCTCCACAGCCAGCACTCGGGGCAGCCAGTGGAAATGCAGGCTCCAATCGAAACCACCTTTCAGCAGCTCATTCCCGGCCAGATAGCTCAAGGTCTCGGGTTCAATGGGATCCAGCACTGGGCTGACCGCAAGCATTGAGTTCAACGACAGCCTGTCCAGCAGGGGTTCCAGCCAGCCATTGTTGACCTCACAATGACTATCGAGAAACAGCAAGTAGTGGCCACTTGCCACACGAGCGCCCTCGTTGCGTGACCAAATTAGGCCCATGCGGCGCAGATTGCGCCTGAAGATAAGTGTGGGGCGCCTCCGTGTGGCGTAAACAAGAGTCATGACCCGTTCAAGACTCTCCAGCAAACTGACTAAAAATTAAGAGCTATATCAAAACGATTGCTAATATTATGACCCTTACCAAAGGCTCACCATCCTCGCTGCAGTCGTCTATGATGATGAGCTCGTGTAGATAGTCTTCCGGGGTACGGCTGACCAGCGTCAGGATCGTTCGCAGCAGCATGGAACGCGCCTCATTATAAAAACTTATCACAACGCTGAGCTGGGCAGCTGCCGCATGAGGCAGCGCGTAGCGGCGAGCGTTGCAACTGTGCGGCAAATAGAAACAAAACACTTTTAAATGAAATCAAGTTTAACTGCACTAGTTGATGGTAACCGACTAGCAGATACCCTGCACCAAACTGCCAATTAGCATTCGTCATTATTTAAATACAATAATAGACAGCATGAGCTGTGTTAGAAACTAATTAAAGATATGCTAAAAAAATCGAGGTTGACAATCGATATTTATCGATTGCGAGTGAAGAGACCATAGCCATCGATAATTTGAAATAAAATGGATCATGGTGAATAGAGAACGCAGTCGGCAGCAGAGACATAGTGATAACTCTCTTAACGGACATTCCTATTAGGCAGCCAACTCCCTCATTTGTGATTCAGGTAATACCCATGCCAGAAATGTCTGCTGCCCGTGACAAACGAGAGCGCAAAACCTATATACCCTATCTTAATTATACTCAATGGGTGTAAGGTATATTTTAAATGCAACCTGGTTGTACCAACCTCTCATGCCGCGTCGCTGGCAGTGCACGCACTGCTGGCAAATTGTCACTCAGCTGGCGATTGTATTGAAAATAATCATCCGGCTGATCGGGCGTATGCGCAATAAACTCACGCCATTTAAATTGATGCCAGCTCAGTTGTTGCTGCTGCAAGATCAACTGGAAAACACACGTCAAAGCTGTTTTCCATTTTAACAATTGCTTAACACTCACTTGACTGCTCGGGTATTCATCGAGTAGGCCAAAACGCAGCAACACAACCACAAACTGCAGGCCCAAAAATGCCAAGATGCAGACGAGGCAACAGCGCAGCCGGCGGCGCAGGCTGCCCGACATCGCAGCGTACTGACTGTGTTGGCCCCATGCTGCCAGCAAATGCGCAAACCCATAACGCTTCACGCTCGGTCAGTGAATGCGCGTTGTAATCGAGTTTCTAGACAAATAAATATCAGCTGCAAAGTGATATATCAGGTGGTTTGTTATTTTATTTACCAAAAATTATGTCGTCATAAAAAGCTGAAAATTGAAAACTAAAAACTGGCCTCGCACATGTCTCTATCCCTCTATTTCTCCTTTGTCTCTCTCTCTCTCTGTCCCTCTCTCTGTTGCTCTCTGCCTTTCTCTCTCTCTCCCTCACTCTCTTTCGCTCTTGTCCACTATCTAACTGCCTGTCAAAACTTGTTACTGATAAATCGCTCGATAAGTTTGGCAAATATTTGTCTGCAGCTCGCAAGGTGTTAATTGCACCACATGAAATCTATATATTACCTGTCATGCGTGTCATTTTAGTGGGTGTATATATATATACAGTTCACACACACAGACATACATATATATATACCGCATATAAATAAATATTTTATCTGTAATCATTTGTAATCAATGCCAAGTAAACGCCGTTTGCGTTTTCAGTTACAAAAAAACATTAAGGCTTTCTCTAACTTAGTTTAAGACAGAGAAGGATTTGAAAAAAAACCTATTAATAAAAAAACAACAGGAATGTTAGTAATAAGTATTATTTTGTGATTATTGTAACTTAAAAAAAACCTACATCATTAAAGAATATTTAGCATGTGTATGGGCGAAATTTTTGTAAATATTTACAATATGTGAAATGTATATGTATTGTATATATGAATGTATGTATGTATGTATGTATTAAATATGTATACGAATGCCAAAATCTGCCAGGCAGACCAACTTGACCATTCGTCTCGGGAGAAAAATATTATCAATATTATTATTAAGTTGAATTTAATTATTATTAGCTAAAAGTAAATTGTTCTTATGGCTTTGGCTGCAGGGTGCAGTATAAAATGTTTAATTAATTGCTTTAGACGTTTTACACTCAGCGATAAATGCTAACATATTAAAGCACAAATTTGTAAAAATTGTTTTCGCTTTAAATAATATTTTAATATTTAATTTAAAAATCGCTGAATATTGCTATTTATGTTCACCCTAACAATATTCGAAAATTATATCTAGTCTTAAGCGAAGTTTTAAGCGTTATCTTATAAGATATCAATGATAGTTTAAGCCCTTTAACAAGGGAATTAGTCCGATTAAGCTGAAAATAAATGATTGGTAAACGCTTATCATGGTTTTTACCAAAACTTTAGCCAATATATATCAATTTAGTATGCGCTTTGGCCATAACTCGAACTTCAAATAATATTGCGTTCTATATGTGGATGTTGATTACAAACATATTTCACATTCAAAGATATGAGTATACATGACCCTTAGCCTTTCGCTCTTTGATGTGATTTAATTTGAAATTGTTAAGCAAAGCGGAAGTAACTCATTCACTTAGCAACAAAATCAGATGCTACACACAAACAAACCTCCCCCCTCCCTGCACACACACACACACACACACACACACACACAAACTAAATTGGAGTGTTACTTCCGCATTGCATTAGAGTACAGATGCTACGAGTTGTAGCTGCCGTCCAGTTGCTGATTGACTTACGTGTGCCTCGTTTTAGTTTTCGGATTGTCGTTGTAAATTTGTTGCCCAGGTTTTACGTGCAGCGGAAATGCATTTCCCCAGTCACGTACCCAATGCCAGACCCGGGCCAGACAACTCCGCAGACCAAGTCCAGCTGTTGTTGTTCTTGTTATTTCTGTCCACAGGTTAACTAAGAAATATAACCGAATGGCGCAACTGCGACGGCCAAAGATTCAGATTCAAGTTTTTCTCGCTGCATTTTTTCCTATTTGTTTTTTTAGTTTTCTCTGGTGTTTCCTTGTTTACTCGGCACGCCAATTTATTAGACGGCGCGTGATCCATGTTTGCGTCCATGCTCCATAGATTAAAGTGCTTTTTAATGAATGCAGCAGCTACGAGATCTAATTGTATGCAGCGTCGCGTGCCCAGCTTCATAATTAAATAGACTATGCTCAGGGGCGGAGGGCGTGGGATCTGCGTAGGATGGCGGCAAATTCAATATTCAATATGTTTTCAATTTGCCATTGTTGGCAAATGGGCGTGGCAATCGCATCAAAGGCAAAGGCGAACGCAAATGCCGTGAAGCAAATAAAAATAAAACGAAATTATGTCAATAAATGAATTATAAGGCGCACGCACAACGCGGCGTATACGCAATCCCCAAGCTCAAGCAAGTCAAAGCTTGAAACAGACGACAGAGCGCTTAATGGCCATGTAAGTGTGTGTCTGTCTGTGTGCATGTGCATGTGTGAGTGTGAGTGTGAGTGTGAGTGTGTCTCTCGCCATGATTATTATTATATTGCCACTTACACATGCGTGCGCCGCAGTGTGTGTTATGATAATGTTAACAGCCGAGCTTCTAAAATTTTATTAGCAGTCGACTTATGGAACTTTGAAAATAATAACAACAGCAGCGAAAGTGTTTCTCTGTCGTCTCTTTCTCACGCTTCCCACATGAAACAATTCCAGGCTCCTGCCTTTGGGCCATAAAGAATATTGAGGAAATTGCTTTCTTTGCACTCAAGGCTCAGCATTCGGCCAGGCCAAGCCTTGCCGCGACAGGCCGCACTCATTTCGAAATTGTTGCGTATTATCGTAAAATTTTACACAAACACACACAGTCCCACACAGATACATGGGACGTGCAAATACATACAAATGCGTTTGCGTTTTTTTCGACGATTTACTTTGCTTTGTTTTCACTTTGCGGCCCGCCGCATTTTTTTCGTTTGCGAATATTTTCATTGAGGTTTCTTTTTTGGGCATATTTGCCGAGCACAAACGCGCTTAGTTCGAAATACACATGCAAATATGTTTGAAAATATGTGAAAAACAAATTAGTTGGCAGCGGAATTTTTATGCTCTGTGGTTGCGTCTCTTACAATTTTAAATATTCAGTCCAAATTATTTGATTAATTTGAGTGTGCGCCAAGCAACAGTCCAAACAATCAGCTGCAAATTTCGTTAAAATTTGAAGTTCTTAGAAATAAACAGAAAGAAACAAAAAATCGAACAAAAAGAAAAATATAATAAAAATAAAAATAAGGAAAAGCGTATAATTTGAATGATTTCCCATTTGCAGTGGGCACAGAAAAGAAGCATTTTAATGATGTTTACACAGTTTTCATGTGCCATTCCATTTACGGGCATCCATGTCTGTTTTTCCGGCAAACGTATTATGTGCTTTATTTCGATTGACTAGAACTTTTCACTATGCCCGACGGAGTACTTTAGTTGATGACATTATCGCTACAATACAAAAGGTTTCTTTTTGCCATCCACAACGTAGTCCTTGTTGCTGTTGTTGTTGCTGTTGTTGTCGTTGATGTTGCTGCCACTTCATTTCTGAGTTTACAAAGTTTTTTGTTGATGAAACAAACGCCGTGAGCCAGCAGACCGGCAGCACAGAGAGAGAGAGAGAGACAGAGAGAGAGGGAGACAGGGAGAGAGATAGAGACAGAGAGACAGTCAGTCGGTCCATTGAATGCCTCTGACATCATTCATGACATTAAATGAAACCAGCAAATGTGAGAGTATCTTAATGCCTAAACGTGCCCCGCCCATCAAATATTTCTTTGCCAAGCCCTAATTTAACAGCACATTTTTGATTAATTTAATTGAACATTTCACAGTTAACAATATTTCATATTTATTTAATCTAAATGTATCAAACGAAATCAAATCAAATGTTAAAACATTTTTACAACACGCTTTCCTCCAGATTAGATTCTAAGACATTATTGATCGTCGCACCTATATAGATTTTCTTCTTCAGCAGATTTACATAGACATCCGCCGAGCTAATGTTGGGGCAGTTGTGGCCTAAGATGTTCATGCCACAGAAGCTGCCCCTCCATACGTAGGGCAGCCCAAAGGTTTTCTCGCATTTTTTGGTAATTTTTGAGTTTTCCAAACAGTCAACCCCAGCGGTGACCACCATGCCGTTGGGATCGTTGATGATTTCCCTGCACTGATCGCTTGCTATTATTGACGCAACTTTCTTCTTCGGCGAGGCTTGAAACTTATCCCAACTCCACTGGTCTACTTTCTCCGATGACGGCACGGGGTTCGTGCAAATAGGCGGCTCTTTGACAAACTGTGTTCCCAGCGGGTTCTGTAGATTTAATAGCGTCAGCAGGTCCGCAGTTTTTGCCATTGTGAAATCTTGGGTATCCGTTTTATCGACCACATTGTGTATTGAGCCATCGCTCAATTTCACAACGACTTCTGTCCCCAGTTTATCGTTCATGCACGTTTTGACCGTGAGCACGGCCTGGTTACTCACCACAAGACCGGTGCAAAATAATTTGTCCTTAACCAGAATACGCGCCACATAACCACTCAATTCTCCAAAATTATCCGTCTCTACAGCCTTGACAATTTTGCTCTTTTTGCGATTACTAGCGGAATGCTGGCTGCCCAGGTGGCTCGGATAGTAACCAAAATGGGGCTCCCAACCGCCCGATCCATAAAGCCTTCGAAGCTTTTTTGACTTTCTGAAAATCTTTTCTTGAGCCACAATGGGACTGGCGATTGCCAACAGCAGCACAAAACTCAACAATGTAGACAACAGCATTGCAGGGATGGATCGGATATCTGAGTAGATAACAGTTCCAAATGTTTCAGATTGCACTCCTGCAGAGTATCTTTATGTGGATCTCAACCTTGAATAAGCAAAAGCCACAATGTCAGAGAAGTCAAGAGTTTTCTTCGTAAGTATTTCATTTCAAGTTAACTTTGTTTCATTCGTTATACCTGAGCTATGGCCTAATGTGTGATATCGAATTGATTTATCAGGCACATTTAGCTTGTTATTACCTCTCAATCTAAAATCAAAGTGACTTCAGTTCGTTTTAATAGAACAGCTTAAACTGTTAGCGAATTGTAACGCGCTGAGCGACGAGAAACAGCAAACAGAGAAAACCGATGGTTTTTCCATTATTAAAATTCTTTTAAATCCTCAAAAATTAAAGTGTTAAAATAATTTAAACATTTCAAAAATTATTGTATTATATTCTTTCGCATATTCGACCAATAAGAATTTGTAAATATGCGATATAAATTATATTCCACTGGCTCAGAGTATGGCGTCCTCTAGGTCGCTAGCGACAATGTTTGAAATGCTGCTGTTTTTCACTTCGGCTTCATTCATGACGGCGGCGTACAGATCGACGCTAAACTTCTTGGGACAATTGTGACCCAGCAAGTTGACGCCGCAGATCCTGTTCTCGTAAATCAAGGGACTGCCAAATGTCTTCTGACATTTTTCCGTGTGCTTCTCGTTCTTAACACAGATCATCCCATTGGTCACAATGTTGCCGTCCGTATCATTCAATTGCTGCCGACAATCAGCCAGGGGCAGCACCTGGGAAAGTTGATTTTGCACCACACGACGGGTGTGACTGTATGTGGGCAGCTCCACATACATATTAGCCAGCAGACTGCTTAAACAGAGCTGTGATGTAATCCTTACATTTGGCACGGGTACCGTTAGAATCACCAAGGTTATTACCGAATCCTCGTCCTTAATGGGAGACACGTCTATGTTTCGGCTGAACAACCCGATGGTCTGATCCGTTGAGGTCTTGACGGTATAATTCTGTCCTTGTGCACCTTGGAAGCAGGTGCCAGCTGTTATGGCTGTTTGCTCGGTCAAAAGTGTTCCAATGCAAATGAATTTGTCGCCATTGTATATGCGCACCAGTAGATCATGCAGCCGTACTGGTTCACCATTTCCGATCATATCTACCATCGGCTCTTCCGTACCTGACCTAAGCATAATTCGCTTTTCCGCCGGATAAGTGGGACGCGGTAGTCGTTTATAGTCCGATTGAACTTTGCTTCTATGCTGTGGCCTGTAATCGGACAGCATATACCGATGATAATGGAATTTGGCATTCGCTATGTTGAGCTTGAGAACGACAAGGATTGATAACGATAATAGCCACAGAGAAACTGTTGCCATTGTGAAAGGTCTATTTTTAACTGTCAACAACGTAATTAGTTTATATATTTCTACCTCTTAACAGCAATTCGTTACACATATTTCCGTCATGGTTCAGCATTCGTTTTAGCTTATCTATTTATGTAACAAAATAAAATCCATTTATTTGACAGCGTAAACTTTTTCAATTAAATATTTACGTTCTCGTTAACTCTGTAAGGATTGAATAAATTTAATTAAATATAATCAAGAATAGTGGATGCCTTTGGTCAGACAAATATCAGATTTTTGATACAAAATCCGATTGTTGCCATAAATATAGTTTTTTACATTAAAAGCAAAATAAAAATCGTATTTGCTGAGTTTTGTAAGAAGCTCGAAATAGTTTTTTATATTAATTTAATTTTATATTAAAACTCAAATTTGTAAGCGATCGTTATGCGGATTATGACAAGTATAATAGACCGATGTTGATAATATTTTGCCCATTTATTAAGAAGTATAGTAAAGTATTTTAATGACAAGTTTCATACAGAGAGTTTTTAAAGTGGATACGGCTTTATGGACTCGACTGTTGGACTCATCTGGAATATATACACTACATGGGCACGAAAATGTCTCCATCGATGTATTAAACATTCCGTAAATAATTATGTTACCCTGAACGACGAGTAGTAGTAATCAATTTAACTGTGGTTGTCTCTGGCTTCAGCTGTGTCCTTCTCGTTGTTATCGATTCATTGAAGGGACCCGTGCCTGTTAAGGCTCTAAGTAGATCCGTTGCCTTCTGTATAAATGGTATGGTATGCGGTATGGCATAGTAAATATCGACTATATGATGTCCCTCCAACTCATCGCAATGCTCGCCATAAATATTGACGCCGGCCAACTGGCTGTCAACGATCAGCGGATCGCCGGCGCGTGTGCTACAGCCTCCAGTCTTTATATTCCTCACACAGAAGAACTCTTTGTCAAAGGGAATAGCAATTTTGCCGCTCTGCTCAAAGGAGCTCTTACATTCCTCGAAATCTACCACCTTGGTTTTAAACAGGGTAATCTCTTGGGTCTTAGAGTCCACAAAGGACATATTCACAGTACTGCCCATTTTTGGCATTTGTTCAAAGAGCTTTATATAGCGACTCTTCCGATCCATCTTCTTTTTCAAACCCAGAAGCGCAATATCGTGGACATTTCCGTTCCCATGTTTGCTGGTGGGCAAATAAAACGCCCTGACATTGGAGACCTTCCGCTTAGGTCTACCGAATTTATGCCCCGGCAACACAGACATCTGCCTGGCCTTGTATTCGCGCGTCGGCTCATTCTCGTTGTTCAGGAAACAGCGGGACGAGGTGATGACCATGCGGTGGGAGATAAGAGCGCCGGCACAAAAAACCGAACCCTTGTATAGTATGTGCACATAGTAGCTTTTATGCACGTTGGGATCAAATGTTGGCAATCCGAAACTGCGTGCTACTTGTCCTTTACGATCGCGTTCAGCTAAGATATCACGATTATAGTCAACGTGCATATTTTGATTGTGCCCTCGATTGTAATAGGAAGGCCGATGGGATGTCTCAATATATCGCTTTAGCCACACACCAACCGCAATCTGCACACTCAGCAGTAATAACAGAAGCACAAATTCGCCTTTATTCCGTTGCATTTTAATTGGTACTGATTGTGAAACTGAACCTGGAGCTTATCAAGTGCTACGGTAAATATCCATTTAGCAGCCATGACCAAAGTCGTGCTTCAGCAAAACATTTTTATTTAGTCACGAATTAAAATATTAGTTATGACATTTGTTATAAATGTACGTACATATGTATTTATGTTTTTATGTATGAATGTTTCTTTGTATGTATGCCTGTATGTGTGTATGTGTGTATGTATGAATGTGTATATATAAATGTATGTACATACATATGTATGTATATATGAATGAACATATGTATGTATGTATGTATGTATACATACATACGGATGCATAAATATATATGTATGCATGTATGAATGTATATGTATATACGTAATCATGCATGAATGTGTATGTATGTATACATGTATATATGTATGTATGTATGTATGTCCGATTGTGTATGTATATTTGTGTTCGTGTGTATGTAAGTGTGTATGTATGCATGAATTTATGCATTTATGTATGTATGGGCGTATGCACAGAGAGAGAATGTGTGAATGAGAAAACGAGAATGTGTGAATGTGTGTTAATTTGTTTGTACATATTCAAGACCAAGTTTACTCCAGCTGCGCTGCACAATAAAAAAAAAGTGTTCTTAACTAATGCCTTACTATGCGATTCTCATAAATTCAAGAGGAGGAGACGGGTTAAACTATGGAGTGAACGGTAGCTTGAGCAATAGAAGAGACGGCAGATTCACCTATGGATCCGGCGACGTTTTTTGGCCATAAAAATAACTGGTTCATATTATTAACAAAGTAGGTCTTATTATATTTATCAACTTGTACAAGCGTATGCAGGCATGTTTGTTTGTATGTATTTCAATATGTGTATAATTTGAGCTGAGATGAAAATGAAGAAGAAACGTATTTATAAATATTGCCCAACTACGCGATGCTTAGCAACTCAAGGGAGGTTGAGCAAACAAGCTGCATTATTAAGCTAATAAACATTATTTCTGATTTTCTGTTCTTTCAGTTTTGGATTTATATAACAGTTCGTAACCCGCCTACTAATAGATGACGATAAGATAATCGTGCGTGTGAATTTACAGGTGGGTACATCATTTTCACTGTATTTACTTTATGTGATGAGGGTGCAGCCTAAACGGGATTCTGAAAAAATCCACCAGTAAGTGTGGAAAACTCGCGAAAAACTCTTGTATCGAACTTTCTTTGCTTATCATCGTACCGGCTTCAAACTCATTTTTAGAAGTTTTCTTTAACATTTATTTGATACGCTTTTCGCAATATCCACCGCTATTTGTTGAAAAAAAAAATGGGTTAAAGATTTATATAGCGAAAGATTTTCACCACAAGACTTACATGGGCGGAAGGCGTTGTTTCCAATTTATGGATATTTATTCGATGGACTTTAAACATACTTTCAAATAGAAGTGGACTTCAAGATAGAACAGGCAGAATTTAATTGCCCATGGTTGCAATAGTAATATCTACAGTATTTATTACAAAACTTGCCACGGGCAAGGCCGGGTATTATACGCTAGTATTTTTATATATGTACAAGGTTTTATAACAAACAAAAACGGACGACAGGATTAACAGTAACAATATTAACGAACCTTATGAAAGTTAATATTACTCTAATTCTAATGTGAATAAACATTAAAAGTAAAAACAAGTCGTAATCGTTTGTTTAACTATTTTTACTATCAATATCACGCTGAAAGCTGCAATAGAAACAATATTTGATTTGATGCTAATTGGCTTACCCGGCAAGTCATCAATTTCGTCCCTTTCACTATGTGGTTATACAGGCAGATGGTTCGTTTTAAATATAGAAAAAAAAAAAAACTAAGCACCAATGACTGGCATTTAGCTGGCTGAATCCAAAGAGGCTGCAATGTGCGGAAGCTGCAAAAGAACTATTTAACGAAGTATATGGATAATTAATTTACGTTGATTAAAGTTGCCAGCCACAGTACAGATGGCAAAGGAGGCTTGGTTGTCAGTGAAGTGAAGCATCTTGCCCAGACAGCCGGAAATTGAGGTGTTTGTAATGTGTGCACGGGCACAGACAAGGAACTGGGGACCAGGACAGGCATAGGTATTACCAACTGCCGGCGACTGTGTCTAATTGATGGGCAGCATTCAAAGCCGTTTTTATGCAAATGCAAATGCTGCATACGCTTTAAAGTTGGAAGCCAACTGACTGACGAGCTGCCTCGGCTCGGGCACACTCATCAATTATTTAGAATATGTTACACTTGGTACATAACTTCACAGACATATGCTTACAAGGCTGTAAGTCGAGTCAGCCTCGACGTCAGCTCTCCGGCCGTAATTGCCGGTCATTATGCTTAAGGGATAAGGCACTTCAAGACCTGGGCACAGAAAAAAGGTATATGCATACATATATATTTGTTGAAACTGGAGCCACGCACCAGCCGCCTACACCTGCAACAGGAATTAAGTTTGAATTTAATTGGAAAATGCAGTACGGGGCTATACCCTGTGTTAAACAGCTATTTTTCGTTTTTTAATCTTTTCAGCATATAGAGATATCATATATATCACAACATTCACCGAGGAACTTATGTACAGCTAAGCCCAAAAACTCCATTTTTTCCATTCTGTATATATGCAATATTGATACCCGGCGAATGATTCGGTTCACGGTTGGAACCAGCTCCTTGATTAAAGGTTCGATTCACATCCCGAAGACTAGGCTTCAATTACATATTAATTTACAATATTATATATCATATATATCACACATCATATATATCACAACATTCACCGAGTCCTAGTTGCCATCGACTAAAATATAGCGAAGCTGCTTATGTAAAGCTAAGCCCAAGATCAAGTTTGAGCTCATTTTTTTCTATTCGGCATATTTGCAATTTGGATACCCGGCGAATTATTTGCTTCACGGTTAACAAACCAGCTCCTTGACTTAAGGTTCGACTCACATCCCCAAGGCCAGGCTTCACGTACATTTTTATTTACAATTGCTTCGTCCACACGTTGAATAAATGCAAATGTCTCAAGTAAATGTTTTAGGCTATTTAGTTTATACTTTGGCTAAAGAATAAGTTAATAGTAAAATTAAATTGGATTTCTGGTTTCGAACCAGTTCTGTCTTAGACCAGTTTGTAGTCGTGGTTACGAAAAGAGTGTTGGTTAATTCGATATCCCTTCCGATAACGGTATTCTTGACATTATATGGAAGGATGAACAGACACCTGGAAAGGTCTAGGTTAACTGCGAACAAGTCGCTGGAAGACATTATGACATTGATCTTCGTATTCCATATTTAGTAGAAATCAGCAGCGGAAAAGTAATTTCTTCGAACTTCCATTAAACAAAAGAAAACTGTTATTTTTAGCTTGGATTAAAAAAAAATTTTCGGATAATTCAAATAGTTGATGTATTCTAGGAATATTACCAAAACAAGAAGCTATAAAAAATTTATTTTAAAACGTATGTTATATATGGTAAATGTTCTTTTATTCCTTCTTGCTTTGCTTTATTCACTTTTGATATTTTCTAAGCAAATTGTTGGCAACATATGCATCATATCGGATGATTAGTTGTGTGCATCCATTTGCTCGGGTAATATATACCCTGTTCGACACATTTTATATATAGAATAGATACACCTGATATGATCGCTGATTACCATATTAATTACATTTGCTTAAGTATATTATACCCTTTTTTGTACATTTTGTGGCTATATGATATACGAATTTTCTTTCTACATCCCATTTAGTTTCAAGAAAAGTCTGTGGACATCCTATAGAATCGCAAACTTGTTTTCAGCATGCAGTTGCTGCAGTATATTATACCCCACGTTAGCCACCCAATGCGTACAGGGTGCACAAAAAGGCCAAAACGCTGTGTATATATGCCTTACACGTGTTTTAGGTCCTCACTTGACGCATCGCGCTAAAATTTATGCGTACGTGCTCAGCTGAAAAACGTTGCCGACGACAACCCCGGGTCATTTATTATTAGCTGTGAAATGCGTGCCCGGATCGGGGCAATGGGCAATGGGCAACGGGCCTGCCTGCCTGCGTTTTTACGGCCTGCCTGGGATTTAACTTTCGGGTTGGCCAAGAAAAAGCAAAGCTGCCCAATATATAACAATTTTATTTGCATGCTTTAAAAGGCTGCCGACGGAAGGTGTGGAAATTAAATTGACACCTAAGGATTTCATTATGTTGACTTGAAAATTGAATCTAACAGCTGTATGTGAAAGTTGAAATTATGCGTATTGACTATGCAAATAATTTGAAATTGCAATTAATTATTAAAATTGATGCTACGAAATGTGTGCAGTTAAATTTAAGTTTTCGTATTTGATGAGTGTCATAGACACACACACGGGCTGGATTTTCTGTGCTACAGTCGACTGAAAATTAAATGTCACTCATACGCCATGTATGCCTGGTAAAAACGTAAATACTTGGCAAGCTGCTGCTGTTGCTGCTGTTGCTGCTGCTGCTGCTGCTGGCTGCTTTACAGCTCATTATGCAACATGACGCAATCTGCAAAAAAATAAAAAAATACAAGATGTGGGCGCGGCAGCATAGCATTATGTGTGCCGTCTTCTGCAAAAGGACAAATTCAATTTTGCCATCAAAAGTAAAATGCTTTAAAATGTTAACAGCAGAAAAATCAAAGCCAGTTGCATGCAGCTCAGTTACAGGTTTTGCTGCAGGGTCAGTTTTCAGTGTCTGCCCTGTGTGTGTGTGTGTGTGTGTATGTGTGTGTTTGGCGGCCTGTTTGTGCATTTGTCTTAAGCTGTTTGGACATGCATCCAAAGAGAGACCGAGAGCGGACTACAATGAGCGCTAACTGCTGCAGGCAGCGGCATCTTCTTTGATTGCACCACTCGAGTGTGCCCGTGCCTTTGCCTGCCCCCGCCCCTGCCCCTGCTCCTGCCCCGGCACCTTGCTGCTGCCACTGCCACTGCCCCGGCGAGGGTTGTCTCTACTCAAATACAGTTCGTTGCACATTTGAACATGCCCTCAGAA